TAGGGAATTTACTCTCAGTCAAGCTTTTATCTTGTCCTTTAAAGGCGTTCTAACCTGATTCTGGAGAGCATTGCAAAATTTTGCAGATGGCTTTGTATGCAGATTTGCTTTTGGCCTGGTAATCCTTCAGAGTAGGTATTTCCAAGCAGTAGAGGCCACCTTAGCTTCACAGTATGGCCACATGACACTGGGCGAGATTTAGTGCTGGCTCCTAAAGTACCAGCGTTGCCTGCGGGTTGCAATGTGGGTACAGGATGGTGCCTAACTGAGGCCTTACCTGCTTGTTTTTAAGGAACAAAGGCGTAACAGGTTAGCCCGGGAGTTGCCTTCTGCTGTGCCACGAGAAAAGGTGAGTGAATGTTGCTTTTTCTTTATTCATTTAATGCTTTATGCATTTAAGTTTAATGCATTATTCTTTTCATCTGATTAAATTCTGGGAACTGTGCTGCCCCAGTAACTGTCTTGGGAACTTCTAGATATTGATTTTGTTTTCCTTTCAATCTCAGAAGATAGAAGTGGAATGTTATTTTTTTTCTTGTAAAGATGCAGGTTTGGCAGATTTTCACATAGGGAGTTTTTGAAGACCTCTCTATAATGTTTTGCATGTCATCTCAGGTGAGGCTTGAAATGCTTGCGGGTGTTAAAGATGGAGATAGAATTTGTTACTCTTAAGAGTATTAAGTCTAGTGTAGATTGCTTTCTCTGTGAGAAGATGATGGAGCTGAAAATTTTAAATCCAGTTTTGTATTTTCTCTCTCGAGCTTGGTTTGATTTGCATGGTTTTGGGGATTAGTTCAGTGACAAGTAGATACATGGGTGGAAGAACAACGCTAATTAAAAATGTTGTCTCATTGTGAAAAAGAACATCTGGGCAATCTGTTGGAATTTTGGCTATGTTTTACAAAAAACTATTTTGTAAAGTATGTGGAATCCAAATCTGCAGAATATAGTTTAAGCTCAGGTTGTAACAGGGGTTATTACAGCTAATATAAAGCATTTTTTTATAAGCTTAAAAAGTGAGACAGAGTGCCTGAATAGACCTAGTATTGTCTTGAATTAGTAGAAGATTGTTAATGGTGAACTGGGAATGCAAGGTAACTCTTCAGGGATTGATTTCTGGGCTGTTTGGTCCTTTTTACTGACTTTTGTGGAAAGAAAAGCTTGAATGGTCAGCAGGGCAGCTGAAACGAAACTGAAAACCTGATAAGCCCAAAGTCCTGTAACTGTCTTTGAAATGCTGGTTCTTCCCCACTCATATTACGATGTTGCTTGCAAAGCCAAAAAATCTTATTTTTTTCTCTCTCTGAAATTTCAAAGATGCTCGTAGGCAGAAGTATATGTAATTGCTAGGTAGACTTGGTGGTATTCAGTTGATTTTTTTTGTTTGTTTGTTTTCCTGCATTTTTACCTTCTTTAGTCTACTAAAGCTCCAGGTGCATTGACACCTGCCTCCCAGGAGAGTGTTGCTGCTGCTTCTGCAGAGGCTGATGGCAAGGTCTGTTGTGACGTTTTTTTCCTATAAGCACGGCATGCACATTGATGTTGTGGTGCACCCTAGATACTATGGAGACAGTTCGTATTAAGTGCGTTGTCAGTGACACAGCATGTTCTGGGTCCTCTGACCTTCATGTCCTATAGTCTATAGACTACCTGGCATTATTCACCTGAATACATGCAGTGGCAGGTAAAGATCTGTGTACCCTGTAGTGGTCAAGTTGCTCCTGTATGTTTGAACTTCTGGTTGCAACATCTTATCGTGCAAGTGTGCAGAGAGGCATCCTTGGCCTCAAGCCAAAGTCAGTGGGTTTTGGTGAAACAGTATCGTCATGAAATCTGCAGCATGGTTGTTAAACTGCATGTTTTTAATGTGTTGACAGTTAAAGAAGGAGAACAGAAGATAAACTAAAAATGTGAGTTTCCTGCCTCGTGCAGGGAATCTTTAGAGGCTTTGTTCAAACTGAACCTTCCTTCTGTTGTCTTGCATAATCCCTGCAATCCCTGGTTTACTGCAGTTTTTAATGAATTTCTTGAAGCGCACAGTTCATCTCAGTTTCCTCCTTATACGTAACCCATTGTATTCTATTTGCCATCTGTTGTTTCTTGCTCTTTTAGAAACAAGATCATTTTATAGTGGTTATTTAATTAGAAGCCAAATATGTTTGGCTTTTCCCCCTACCTGAAACAAGATGCAAATATCAGTACTAGTTTCATAGCCTACAATGGCCAGCAGAGAGTTTTCCTGTTTAAAAAGAAACGGTGTAGAAATTTTAAAGTACAGTAATAAATAGAAGGAATCCTAAATTCATTGAAAGGTACAAAGTAAAAAGTTGCTGATGTTCCACATCAAAAGTAACTGTCTTTACTAATATAAGTTTGAATACCCCTTATTAATACTTCTTTTGTCCTGTGCTTCCTAATATGAAAATTGCACTTTCCAGAAGCTCCACCTTTTTTCTTCACTTCCAGAGGATGGAGATTCTTGATTTCTTGTGACTCAGTTAATTTAAAAAAAAAAAAAAAAAAAGTCGTCTTTGAGGGTTGGCTGCACAAATGTGTTTGGAGCCCTGGTACCTGAAAACATAAAATTTTTTTGGCTGCTGTTTTTAATAATAATAATAAAGTTTCTTATAGTAAAATACCAAAGAATTTAAGTGATTTCAAGTTTTCCAAGAGCTGTGATGTTCTTGAAAATGGACTTGCAGAATGACTCTGACCTATAGAAGAACCTTGGAGAAGAGTGGTCAAAGCCAAACAACTTAAGAATATTTTGTATTGCAGAAGTGATCTAGACCCTAATGGCATTTCATGCCATTATTAGGAAGAATGAGTTTTAAAAGCTTTCATTTTTCTGGTACTCTCTGCCTACTTTATATATGCAAATTTCTTTTACTGTATTAGTTCAAATTGTTTTGGAAATAGGATAAACAGAGACCAAAAAAGAAGGACTGGGGCTGTAACAGAACAATAGCATTTGAATTCCACCAGCCTTACATAATTTTTTGGGGATTTGTTTGGGGAAATGTCATGTTCATGCTTGAGGCCTGGAACAAAACGTGTCTGCGAGCTTACCCTGTCGAATGGATTATAGGCTTCCTTCGAAAGTGGTTCCCAAAGGGAGGACAAAGATAGGGAATGTGACGAACAGAGTGAAGAGAGGGAGATATAGGTGTGAAAATCTGACTTGTAGTGAGTCTTGCTTACGTGTAGCTCAGAGGTGGTAGGTTGGATCAGAGGCTGCTTTGCAGCGCCCGAGTTGGAGCTCTGCAGCGTCTCTTCATGTGCTGTTGGTGCAGGCTGCCCCGGGAGTGGGAGATGCGGCCCAGGAGGCTGGAACAGGGAGCTGGAGAGGAATGCTGAAACCCTCGAAAGCAGAAGAGGCGCCAGCAGAGGAGAAGTCCAAATCAGCTGCAGCCCTTCCTGCTAGTCCTCAGAAGGGACATGCTGTAAACCTCCTGGATGTGGTGAGTCGTGAGAGAGAGCGCCCTCCTCTTGAGGAAAGAAAACCTGTGAATTCCCAATCTCGTGTCTTCGCTACTAATATTTGATACCTGTGTAAATAATTGGCCTTATAGGGACAAGGAGCTCTAGCTACTCCTATTCTTGCTTCCTGCTGCCCAAGTCTTCTACTTTTCCCCCTTCCCCTCCAGTTTCAGCCTGTGGTTTGGGTAACTGGCTTTCCTGAACAAATCCCTACGCCAGTGAACTCGTCTAAGTCACTCCTTTACACTATTAAATCTCAGCTCATGCCATAACTCAGTTGCCTGCTTGTTTTTGCTACAGTTGATATTTTTCGTATTAAAGAAAAAGAGTCATTTAAAAAAAACACTAAGAATATCATTAAAAAAAAAAAAAAACCCTCTGTGGAAACCTTATATCCTTCAGTAACTCTTTTTTTGTTTGTTTTTTTAAACCACTTGTGATAATGTTCAGTGCCCTCTGGCCTCTCAGTTTCAAAGCTGTGGATTTTGACATGTTATTTCCTTCAATTTGATTTCTGAAGAATAGAAATACAGTTGACGAAAAGAAAAATTGATCTTTTTATATAGAGCTAGATGAACCTTTGTTTTATTTCCCTATGTAAGTGAGCTGAATTGCCAAACTGAAGATTTGTTCTTTCCGTAGCCTGTACCCGTAGCACGCAAGCTTTCCGCCCGTGAGCAGCGAGACTGTGAAGTGATTGAGCGGCTCATTAAGTCTTACTTCCTCATTGTCAGGAAGAACATTCAGGACAGGTAATAAAAACTTCCTAGGCCACACAAATCCCAGGCTACCTGAAGGGTCACCTACATGATCTTTGTTTTGTATCATTCTTTTACTTTTCTAAGCAGAGAGAAAATATGTTTTGGTTTCATTTTTAGAAGGGTCTCTTGAAGAAAGCTGGAAAAATGATTTTTTTCCTTCAATAGGTTCAGTTCTGCGTTATAATGAAGTAATAATTGTGGATTGTTCTTGATCCTTATGGCTTCCTGACTGGTTCCATTATAGACAGATATATTTTGCACATTTAATGTTTATTTTCTGTTTGAGGTGCCCTTATTTTACACTGTCTGACATTAATTTGACCCAAGAATTGTACAGTTTTCAGTTCACTTGCTAAGTAAGACTGGATACATCAGTTTTCTTTGCCACTTTCTTCTCACCCATGAAAACAGATTCTAAACTGAAATATTGAATGTTTTTGTCACACCTAGCACAGTGGAGATACAGTTTGTGGCCTCCAGTGAAGAAGTGATTTATTCTTAGTGTGTTTTGTGCACCTTATATATTCCCTTCCTTTACAACACAGCAATCCCACCTGCAAGAAATTCAACATTCTGATTTGCTCGAGATAGAAAGTTTTAGTTTTCAGTAGTGGTAGATTCCTGGTAGGTTCTGGGTCTAGTTCTATGTAGCTGTGTGGTCACACCCTAGTATTTGGGCTTTTTGGTTTATTTGTGTGGTTTTAGTTTGTGTGTTAAAAAGCAGAGCTGCTTCCGAGTTGTTGTTGAAGAAACAATCCTTATGTGCTTGCAGCGTGCCAAAGGCAGTGATGCATTTTCTGGTGAACCATGTGAAAGACACTCTCCAGAGCGAGCTGGTTGGACAGCTGTACAAATCCTTGTTGTTGGACGACCTTCTCACTGAATCTGAGGACATGGCGCAGCGCAGAAAAGAGGCAGCTGACATGCTAAAGGTATTAAAAAACCAAAATCTTAATAGGACCAGTTAATTACATTGGAACCATGGTATAAACGTTGGATTTCCGCAGAGTTGCATTCCTTTATCCTATGCTGTGTGTTCCTTTTGTTTTATTGTAATGCGTGTGTATTATTTCCCTGTACTGGAGGAAATGTAAACAATACGTGAGCAGCAAGTATTATGTGGATTGAGGATGATGCATTTGTGTCAGGAAGGGAAAGATTAACTGTATTTTGGGAGTAGAAGATGCTCTGATCTGGTATCCTTTTCACTGATGCATTTGGTTTTAATCATTAGCCCTTAGCTTCCCTTTAAGTGTTCTGCAGTTCTCTTAGGTGATTCACATTAGTGTTTTAACTGCAATGTAAAAGCCAGCTGGCCTAGATAGCAGGTGTTTGTGGTCAATACCAGAGACCAAATATTGAGAATTCTGGGACTCGGATATCCAGACTGCTGTATGCATCTGTATATTACGTGATGTGTCAGAACCTGCTACAGCTGCAGGATAAGTCAGCTTTTTGGACTGAACTGCGTAGAGAAGAACGTCTCTCTACACTGAAGAAGTAGGAATAGATAGAGAATGTTAAGACAAACCTGCAGGTCATACACCGAATATCTAAAAATTGCTGAAAACAATGAATTGAATTCTTTCCACTTCTAACCAGGAGTTCTGTTTTCAAGTCATTTCTAACTCTTACCTCTCTAGAAAT